TAAAAATATTTTGACCGGTAAAAATATTTTTTTTTTTTATTTATTTTTGATGGTTTGGAGGCAAAGGAGCGGATAAGTCATCTGTAGGTAAATAACTACCACCACCACAGAAATCGTAATAATAAGGGAGGCGGTGGAGGCTAGAACTATCTACTAGTTCTCTCTAGTTTAAGCCTCTTGTAACCGGACGTACTCGCTGAAAAGTTTTGATAGAATTATTTAACACCGGTTTCCTGTGAGGCCGTGGTATCACTCCGGATAGTTAATTAATACACGAACATATTTGCTTAAAGCATTAATATGTTTACATTTATTAGTAGAATAAAAAAAACTTTTTAACATAATTAAAAGACTTTCTATGTCCAATAAACACTTCTTCTCTTGTTCATTCCTCTTTTGCTGTCCAACCTATGCTAATATGGAATGCGCTCCCACTTGAGATCAGGATGTCAACAAATCCTAAGTCCGAGAATTTTACAAAAAATAGCTAGCAGAAGAAAAAAAACTGTTTTAAAGATTATTTATAGTTTGAGATGTAACTTTGAAAACCACACAACCTACCTCAACGCAATACTGTCTTGTAATAGAGATGAGTCAGATGTCGTTGAACCCAAGGTCACGATGCACACAGACTAGTCAGTCAGGCACAGATTTTCGCCCGGACACTTAGCTAATCGCTCTTGAAAAGCGTTTGACCTAAATAACAAGTGTAATGTATGTGTGTAAGTTTGTTTAAAAAAAAAAAGGATAATATATTTAATTACACACATCACACATCAATAGCCTACCGGCTTAGGTGGGCCCTTTAGGTTTGTGTCAAGTTTCCTTCTCTTTACAGTGCTGTTATCCTGCGTAGTTTGGGGGTTTGGGGGTTTACGCCGGAGACAAAAAAAACGAGTTTTAAAAAGGAGATGTCAACTTTTTGTATGAATGTTGTGACTCAAATTACACAGATATACAGCAAAAATTAGTAGTTGGGAATTAGATAGATAACAATTATTTTTAAAACCTGCATTTAAGAGGAAAATAAAGTTATGTTAGTAGATATTTTTATTGGAGGATTGCAATACTAAATATACCATATTATAATATTGGTTATTCACGAGGTAAATTAATAGTAGGCAGGTAACGCATTGTCCGTGTGGTGACGGATTAAGAATACAGAGTGTCAGAGATAGACAAAGGGAAAAAACTACGCAGAACAACAGCACTGCAAAGAGAAGGAAAACTTGACACAAACCCTTTTTTTTTTTTTTTTTTTTTTAACGTGTGGAAATCCCCTCGGACCGTCACCCCTCCGGGGTTTGCGGCGGGGTGGTGTGTCGGACTCGGACCGACTAAAACCACACGGTGTGCCACTCTGCGCCTGTAACAGGAGGGATCCGGGAACAGCTGTTGTTAAGACATCCGGACCCCTCCTAGCGCCAGCCCGCTCCTGGTGCGGGCTCCGTCTCGATGTTGATGTTCCTCTCTTTAGGCGACGTCCGGCACACGCGGACGCCGCCCCCTCGCGGCTGGCCAACTAATGCGGGTGGAGGGGAAACCCACCCCGTCCACCCGCGGCCACACTCAGGGCGGCATGAGGCTGTGGTAGGCGGGCCTCCGCCGCCCGGTTCGCCGGCGGCGGATCGGGTCCGAGTGGAGGTCGTCCTCCCGGGCCCTCTCCGCCGCCTCCTTCCGCGAGATTACTACCTCGCAGAAGGTTGCGACCGCGGTAAAACAACTGTCGCTACCGGCCATGGAGCGTACTACGGCCGGTAGCGAGAGATCCACTCCGATGACTGCAGTGAGGGCCCGGCGCTGCGCCGCCCATGCGGGGCAGACCGCCAGCGTGTGCTGGGCCGAGTCCTCACTGCAGTCGCAGTGGTGGCAGGCGGGACTCAGTTCCCTCCTAGCGACCGTGTGCAGGTACTTTCCGAAGCAACCGTGCCCGGAAAGCACCTGCGTCAGTCGGAAGGAAAGGGTCCCGTGCTGCCGCCCTGCCCACTCGGCGATGACCGGCTGGAGAGCCTCCACGGCGGCGAAGCCAGCGCGTGGAGTCTCCAGCCGGAACGACCAACGAGCCATCGTGGCTCGGCGAGCGGCTTCGCGCCACTCACGCACATCCTCGGGCGGAGGGCGAAATCCGCTCTCCGCCCGGTAGTCAGCCACTCGCCGATAAACTTCGGCGAGCACTTCCGCCTCCAAATCCCACGGGGGAGTTCCGGCCAACGCGCACGCCACATCCGTCGAAACGGTGCGGTAACCGCGTATGGCTCTGACCGCCATTACCCTCTGAGGGCGCCAGAGGCGTACCCTATTCTGGGCGGTCAGAGCCGCCGCCCACACCGGTGCACCGTACAGCGCCATTGACCGGACAACCCCCGTGTACAGCCGTCTTGTCGCGACGCTGGGTCCACCCATATTGGGCAAAAGTCGCCCTAGGGCAGACGCAGCGCCGACCAGCTTTGGAGCAAGCTGTCGGAAGTGCTCGTCGAAGAGCCACCTCCCGTCGAGGATCAGGCCCAGATATTTCATCTGGGCCCGAACCGGTACGAGGACCGAGTTGACCACGATTGAGGCGCCAGGGGGTGGACCACGACGGGGCCCATGAAATAACAGGGCCTCCGTCTTATCTAGGGCCACCCGTAAGCCCAGCGCCTCAATGCGCCCGACCACCAGGGAGACTCCCCCTGTGGCCAGGCGCGCCGCCTCTTGGAAGTTTGCCCCCCGGGCTGTCACCAGGGTATCGTCTGCGTAACAGATTACACCCAGCCCGAACCCTATACCAACCCGTCTGGCCAGCGTGGTATAGTAGGCCAAAACCTCCTTTCTAAGGAGAGGCCTATGTCCAGCAGTGGACTGTTAAAGGCTGTTGATGATGATGAGTAGATATTTTTATTGGAGGATTGCAATACTGTATAATCGTAGGTAAATCGACATCCATATGTCACGCGTGACGCTTTAGAGACAATTGTCAAACTTGTCATTTTATTTTTTAGTGGTCATCGGTAGCAAAACTTTGATCGTATTCGGCCTAAAAATGTACCAAAGTAATAACAATGCTTTCTCAAAATTGTAGTAATTATAATTTTATTTCATAAATCATAATATTTGATCTTAGAAAGTCTATACAAAAATATTTGGTTCATGGCTACTGCAATTATTCAAGAATAAATAAACCATTATTGGATACCACCTATGTGAGGCAATGACTTCTTTGGGGGTAAATAAAAATAACAAGATAAATGGTTCTATTAAATTTCTTTACATTAATTGTATTAATTATTAAGATATAATATTTATTCGTACTTCCTAGATAGTATTTTTGATTGCTGGATCTTCCTTGTAGTAACAATATAAAAAAAACATACATTAAGAATGCAATTAGTTTTATTTGAAACTAATTGCATTCTTTGTGTTTGTTTATTCGGAAATTAATTATTAATTATATTAGTATAGTATTAATTAATTATAGTATTCGGAAATTAATTGCAGGTTATTATTTTGATATATTTTTTATATTTTTTCTTACCATGCACTTGCAGTATATAATGTATTTAATTTACTCCCTATTCCACAAGACCAAAAAAAAAAAAATTGAGTTGAAATGCTACAATTCTAACATATCCAAGTAAATGTGTAAGGCCGCAAAAATTGTTCGGCAGCGTGAGTTATCTTTACAAAAAAAAAGAACGGAAATAAAAAAAAACAAAATTTATTATGTATTCTAAAATTTGTTTTATTTCTAAATCACGGAAACCGCATGTAAACAAATTTCGAAACTATAGAATAATTTAATCATAATTTCGCGGTTAATAAATTTTATTTTTTATTTTTCAGTGGTCACGGCCGCATTACATTAAATACGCAGTTTTAGTTCAATGTTAGACGACGTGCGTGGGTGAATATCCCTTTCTTTTTACACCTAAGTCAATGTCAGCAACGCAACGTTCGAATATTTGAATGAATTTGTAAATCGTATATTTTCGTACTATTTCTTTTTACCAAAAAACGGCAACACCTATGGTAACTACACGAGAGTAAATACAAAGAAACACTCAGATTCTATGTGTTAAATGGTGAACATCTCTTAGTTTATCCGAAGAGATCATTTATGGTGTTTAGAAGTCATCAATTATACAAGAATTTCAAAAAAAATTAACAGCTGTAACAAGGACGTGCTGGGGCCGCGGCCTTGTCATCACATTTGTGACGTAATTTTTCCTTTACAGGTAAAGAATTGTGTTTGATTGTTTAACACATCACAACGCTTAAGACCCCATGCCCCATGTCACACTTCATTGAATCGCGCTTGAGTGCGACGTTATTCTATTGCTTTAGTAGAAACCGGCGAAGGTTTTTAATTTTTTGGAGTAAAAGGTAATAAATACAGGTTTAATAACAACCGTCCATTTTTATTTTTGAGTTAGTTGACAAACTGATGCTCAATTTTGATAATAAAGTTTTGTTTAGAGATAATGTAAATCCTTTTTTCACCTTATAAAAGACCAAGTTATTACGACCAAAATGGAGTTACACCCTTTTTTATACGAGCCTTTGATTTATTAATGTCTCTTAAATCGCCGTCTAACATTTATTTTTAAACTTTTTACTTGTGTTTACAAATAAATTAACTGAATTGAATATCTAACGATTATTTAAAGAAATTTAGTTCATGACTTCTTCACATCTTTGGAACAATCACAAAATATAGTTACGCATGAACCAAGTTCATATAAAATTATAAACCAATAAGAAATCTGTGATATATAAGAATAACTTCCTTCTGTTCATTGAATTAGAAAGCTCTAAATAAAATCTATGTTTCAGCTTGTTTCTTCATTTTTCGACTACAAATACACGCAATTTAGAGTTGTTTAAAATTGTGTGTATATTATTATTTCAATTATTTAACATCCGCGTCTATTACACAATGTTTTACTAAGCATTTATTACCAAACATTTAGTTGTGTCTTTAAAATTTGTATCGAAAAGTTAAAACACATAATTTTACTTACCCTTTGGCATTCCACATGGCGGTTTTGTTCTAGAATTATCGAGAAAGTCCAAATCGTATCTCCTGGCCGGAGGATATGTCAAAGCAACGTGTCCATTCACATCTAAATATACAAAACTGATGACCACAGCACAACACACAACACTTAACAAAGACGCCATTTTAGCTCGTCTCGTCCTTTAATTTTGTTTATTCCACATCACTTTTAAATTTAGAACGTCCTAACCATGGTTGAAGTTCAGTTTTTAATTTCTTCGCTTCATTTTTGTCTTGTTTCTTTTATGCTTTGTATTGATGGTCTGGATATGATGTTTATCTGTAACAAAAAAAAACACAATTTATTACAATTTATTTATTACAGATACAATTATCGCTTTTTTTAAAACAGTAAACTTGTTGGTTAATTTAATATTAAATTAGTTTTTAAAGTTATTACCACCGCCCGAGTCGCTATAAATTTTAATTAAAATTCGTGTTTAGCCTTTCTGGCCTTTGCAAGTAATATGGAAAACAATTTTAAGCCAGCCATATAAATCGATGCTCCAACCAACAATTTAAGACGCCTTCAGTAATTATGTAGGTTCCATAGACAATGTATCACACAGCCAACAATCAAAATGAACACATAGCTCCATTCACTACACGTAGGATGTTCAAGACATTTCAAGGAAACTATAAATGTACTACGATTGTATTAAAGACTGGTAGCCGACCGTAACCGGGTGTAATTTCAGGATTAAAGTGATTGCCACTCTGTACCTTTGAATTAGGATACAAAATGGCGATCATCTTAGTTATTGCAATGTTAAGTTCCAAACTTTTTTAAATCTATTTAACAGCAACCTGGATAGACGGGAACCATTTTCAAAGATACGAAGGCGATGGACTTAAATTCGGAGTACTAAACAGGGCAACAGATTGACTGACATTGAAGGAGATATAAGCTTGGAAAAAGAAGAAGCAGAAAAACTTCGATGCATTTCAAACCTAAAAAATCGAATTATAAAGTCTAAAGAAAAAGGTGGGAAAAAAGGATCACCAGGGAAAGTACCGAGACTGGAAATAAATTAAGATGTAGCTTATTGATTTTGTAAATAATAATAAAAAAACTAAAACTCTAAAGATATCTTTCTTCCTGTATACGAAACTGCTGCTGTGTATGTAATTGTTGAAGTTTATCTTCAGCAATTACATACACGGCATATGTTCTTTAAGAAGCGGATTGAAATATTTACTTACTTAGTAACTAAAATTAGTTCAATTTAAACCCATTTAATGAGATTAATTATGATGATAATTTTCTCATTAACGACCAAAAAAGTAAGAAGTAAGTAATAATGATAATAATAAATTATACCTCACACATCTTACACACGGCTATTCCAAACTAGGCAGACCCTGTACTATGGTAACCAGACTGCTGATAAACATCCTTATATATTTCTAAATAGAAAGTAAGTCACAAATGCTTCAGTACACACTTTAGTACGTGGCACAAGACATTACTGTATTTTCAGATATATAAATATTCGTTAATCCTAAAGATCCTGATCAGAATAATCGGAAAAAAAAATTTCGGTCCTTGCAAAGTTTCAAAATAATCTGATTACCTTTTTCTAATAACTTATATTGGAAACAATAACTATCTAAACTTATTAAATAAAACAACATTTACTAAACTTTCTAAAGCAATATAGCATTTATTTTAACAAGAATACCTTCCATATCAAATAAATTGTTTCTCTCTAACGATATAGATTTCGAACAGAGTAATCTGGCATTATTATGTGCAATCATTGCCTTGTTATGGCATTATTTAATCATGTTCCAATTTCAAATTATATTTTATTTGGTAAATATGATTATGATCACAAAATTGTTAGTTGTAATAGCGCAATATTAATCTGCTCTAGTCAGAGAGAGTGAGTTCACTCTCTCTGGCAACAGTTTTGTTTTTGTTTAAGAAAAATTGTGATTCACAGTTGTGAATCTGGTATTTATCATAATTTTTCTGTGCTTTTCGCGCGCAATGCGTAACATTGCTCAAGGGATTTGCCTGTTTTCTTTATAGCCGCCCGCATAGCTTTTTTTTTAATTTATTTAACACTTAAACAATGTAGGTAAATAACATTTTTGGTTTTTTGGTACTATAAAACCACTAAGGTTTATAGTAAGTACCGTTAGTTCATGTACAGAAAATGGTCAATACATAGTATTAGAGAGACATTTCGATATTTTATGCAAGGGACGTACATAAATAATCATTCTTTCTCAGCATCGCCCAATCGGTCGACTGGCAGAGAATGCCTTAGGCATTAAGTCCGCCGATGCATGTACTTGTGCAAAAAGTTAAAAAAAAAAAAAAAAAAAAAAAAAAAATAATAATAACTGACGTCAACACTCCTTAAGGATGTAATCGGTTTCGATGAGACAAAGAAGAAGGTAGATTGAGGCAAGGAAATTCGGTAAAGCGAAGGAGATAGGGATATCGCAAGTCTTAGATGGGAAAACAAGACTGATACCGGGGTGTCTGACTACGTATTTTAGTCCCGTGATTGAAGATACCACTAGGACAGCGAGACCGACTGATCAACTGGGTATCTGGTATTATTATTATTATATTAGGTAAATTTAACTATGCAGACACAGAAAATGTATTGGCAATTGTTAAATGAGTCTTAAATAGTTTTTGTATAATATTATTTTCTATTATTTCCTTTCGTACGTGTACACTTTGTAGTATTTTTTTATATTTTCTAGTGATCTGTTATGTTTATCTTACACTTCTACCTTAAAAATTCCATGTCAAGCGATCGCCTGAAACACAGGTTTACCCTAGTTCAGGCAGGCAGCGACTAAAGTTTTTAACACAATCGCAATATCTTTATGTGTAGAAAATCATAAATAACACTACTATAGATTTACGTTAGTGTAACTTAGTCTAATTATTGTCTAAGATCTATGTTAAACTGAAATGTCCTACACTGTAATATTTATATTGGTCAAATAAAAATTAATTATTATTATTATACCTAACTGGTATCTCTCTGGTAACTCCCCCTGATCTTGCAATGAGGGACTGAAATTGCAGTAATGCACTTCTGACTCTTAAGTTGCACGAGTCCATGTGCGATGGTAGTCAATTACCAGGTGAACCGTATGTTAGCTTGCCCCCCCCCCCCCCCCCCATTGAAAAAAAGACATCAAATGAGAAACATCATAAATAAGATATGTGGGTTAATTATGTAGTAATTTACGACTTTTAATGGAAATTAAACAACCTAAACCTTAACTTCAAGGCTTGCTATAACATACATTCACAGATGGCGACAAACTACACCCGCAATATGATATAAGATCAATGAAAGCAATATTTATTATTACTGTATTGTACAAGTCATTAAAGACGGGATATTGACTTCCTTTATACAAAAAGTTTTAATATGTCATATTGCGTAAATGTATGACACAGGACAATTTTACCCGCTCTTATGCCGTTAAAATATTTCTTTATGATCTTTTTTTTCTTTTTATGTTCGAAAATCAAATATTACATTAATTGTTGATTTCAAAACAGAAAACAATAGTGAAGTAACGTTTGATTAACCAGAAAAATTTTAACCGCAAGTGTTAGAAAAACAACTGCAATATTAATACTTGAAATACGAGTATACTACGGAACAGTGGTTTTCAAAGAATGCGATGAAATTTAAATTTTAACTCGACAGTTTAGGACTTTAATTGATTTATTAAAAGAAGGGGATAAAACTAGACAATCGGAATTTTACCACTGTTTAACCATAAACAAAGGAGACTTCACTGACCACAGTTAGGTAAGGGTCATAGAGTGAGAGTTTCGTATATATTTTCGTTCATTTGATAACTTTTTGTCGTGCATGTGAGGTAAAAATATAATACACCGTTGATGTATATTTTAGAATTAGAACTAGTACTAGTTTTAATTGGTTTATTTGTAGTAAAATAATTTATTTGATGTAAAAATTATTTAATTAATGAATTTAAATTGATAGGTTATAACTTCTTTGAGGTGGAGTGACGATTTGCGTAAGATGGCTGTCAAGTCACGGGATTAAACCTCCGTGGTTTTTTGTTGCTATGAAATTAATTAGTTTTGTATGTAAAATTGTGTATGTCGAATAAATAAAAATAAAAAAGAGCTGGATGCGAGAAGCAGAAAATCGGTCGAAGGAGCGGCCAATATTTGAGCAGACCATACACTAATAGAGCATTTGATTTCTTTACTGCAGTGGTACGAATTATACAGTTAACACTGTATTTTTAAAGAGAGATTGAAATGCTCGATGATTCTAGTCTACGCCCAGCGAAGCTTCCCTCCATTACAGTACAGTTTGATTGAAAACAAAAGTGCAGTGTCTAAGAAGCGTGTTAGAGAGGGGAAAGTGTCGGCACTCTGGACTGTGACGGACTGATAATAGACCTCCGATTAGGGTTGCCAGAGTCGAAATTAGTACGTCATAATAAGTTGTACAAAAATTACAATAAATTAAATTAATTAAAAATTATAATAATAAATTTGAAAAAAAGCGTTGGGTGCCTGTTTTCAATAGTAAAAAAAAAACCACGCTTTTTTAGTTTGGTTTTCTATAGTAAGCGTGTTTTTTGGTTTTTAAAACTATTTTTTTTTTTTAAATTAGTGTATTGTCATCGGTCCTCGATATATCTACAAAGTCACGAATTCTAACAGTCTAAAGTCAGTCAAAATCACGCCCAAAAGAGTCGGTTACAAACATACAAGTGAAGCTAATATAAAGCGTGTAAAAACTATTCTATTGTGCAAGGAGTAAATTTTCAAATAATACTTCAACAGTTCATGCTATAAATTATTAGAAAGAAGTTACTTATCGCGCGTTACGCGTTTTGAGCGGATGAGAGCGAGGCCGAAAAATGTGTAACAAGACTTTTTTTCGACACTATAGCAAACGTCTAAACAGCAACTCTTTTTTTTATTTCTCTATCGTATATTAATATCGTTATCATGTTTCTACTCTTTTCCCAATTTAATTTTGGACAAGGTAACGCTCATAGTTACGTGTTTCGTATGTATTACCAGACATGGACATATTGACCCCATAATCTCCCATCTCCCAAAAGAACGATATAACAAGATAGACTTACAAAC